TATCATGTGAAAATTAGTATATTGAAAGAAAATGTGAACCCTTTATTTTGCACGTAATATTTTACAAGTCAGTCAGTTTTCCCGTCTTTCTGGCTCTCTCTGTCCAACTGCACTCCAGACAGTCTCTCTGTGCTTTCTCTCTCTCGGCTCCTCTTCTCCGTGGCTCGAGCCACAGCTTCATCGAAGCACATGCTGATGCCGCTGTTCCTCTTGGCCTCTCTGTCTGCGTCTCTCCTGCGATCCGCTCCACCGTCCCATGCTTCTCGTCTCTCTCCGGGACCCTCGGTGTCGATCTCTGCGCTTTCGTCCTCGTCTCTGTGTGCCGTTTTAGTTTCCGCTGCGTGTTCTTGGTCGGCTTGCGCTGCTTTATCATCGTGTTGTCGGTGCTGAAGCTGTTTTCTGAGCGTGAACGCTGTGAGTTTGGAGGTCTGAGGTCTGGGAGGGACGGCAGGAACCGCTTTCGTGGCATTCGCAGCTTTGCGTGGAGAACGTTTGCGAGGCGCCTCTTTGCTTTCAGTTTGTTCGTGTTGCATCTTGTCTGGACGCTGCACGAGTGTGGACTTTTCCGGATCATCTCCACCTTCAGGAGAAAGATCTCCCTCAGCAGAACTTTCTGTTTTTACGTTCACGTCCTCCTCAGAGTTTCCTTCACGGCTTTCCTCTAAATCTTCTTGTCTTTCAGCTTTGTTTTGGTCTTGTTCTCCTTCTTTTGTATGCTCCTCATCTACACTCTCAGATTCTCCATTATTCTCCTTTGAATTTTTAACTTCTTGTTCTTCTTCTTTTGCATGTTCCTCATCTATTTCTTCACATTCTCCACTGTTTTTCTCTAAATCTTGTCTTTTGGCTTCTTCTTTAGGTCCATCTTTTGCATTTTCCTCACAATCTCCACTATTTTCATCTAAATCTTCTTGTCTTTCAGCTTTGTTTTGGTCTTGTTCTCCTTCTTTTGTATGCTCCTCATCTATTTCTTCACATTCTCCACTGTTTTTCTCTAAATCTTGTTTGGCTTCTTCTTTTGATCCATCTTTTACATTTTCTTCACTATTTTCCTCGAAATCTTCTTGTCTTTCAGCTTCGTTTCTGTCTTGTTCTCCTTCTTTAGGTCCATCATTTGCATTTTCCTCACATTCTCCATTATTTTCTGTTAAATCTTCTTTTCTTTCAGCTTCGTTTTTGTCTTGTTCTCCTTCTTTTGTAAGTTCCTCATCTACCCTCTCAGATTCTCCACTATTTCCCTCTAAATCTTCTTGTCTTTTAGCTTCTTGTTCTTCTTCTTTTGCATGTCCTTCATCTCCTTCTTCACATTCTCCACTGTTTTTCTCTAAATCGTGTCTTTTGGCTTCTTCTTTAGGTCCATCTTTTGCATTTTCCTCACAATCTCCACTATTTTCATCTAAATCTTGTTTTCTTTCAGTCGTGTTCACTTGTTTTTGTTCTCCGTTCCCATCACTACATTCCTCTACAGATCCAGCTTTTGCATCTTCCTCAACATCTTCACTCTTTCCTTCACCTGCATCTGTTTTGTTGCTGTCCTCACACTCTTCTCCTTCATTTTCCTCCATATTCCTCACAACTTTCATAGTTTCTTTCATAGTTTCTTCAGTCTTCTCATCCTCCTCCTTTTGACCCTCTTCGGTCTTTGTTTGGTTTATAATTAGTGTTTGTTCCTCTGGTGGTTGGTCTTGAGGAGTCAGCGAGACGCGGTCTGCATCCTTGAGCTCATCTGTGATGGTTACCTCACTGTTACCATGGTAACCGTCAGCATCCAGCACCTGCTGAGCATCTTCAGCTGGAGACAGTGCTGGGATGGGCTCAGGAACGCTGGTGCCGTCGGTCTCAGTTTGGTCGGGTTCTGGTGAAGAAGGAATCGAGTCCGGTCCAAAATAAGTGTCTTCTTCACTGGCTTCACTCTTTGGATCATCTTCTCCTCTGTACACATACAAAAGTCAAATATTACACAAACACTAGACAGTTTGTGTTGTTACAAACCCATATTATTCTCTTTCTGCCTTGAAACACAAATGTAAGCTAGTAGAGGAGAATTAGATTGTTCAGGTTTATGCTTTCCATAAAAACAAAGCATACCGGTGACAGCCATCAAGCTACAAAAACAACCACACATGTATGATAAAATAAGTGTTTATTAATACTGGGAAGATTTTCAGTCTGTTAATTAAATGATTCAAAAATGTGTTTAGAAAATAATGAATTATTGATAATTAAATTGATCAGAATTAGGGTTGCAAATGGGTGGGAAATTTCCGGTAAATATCCGGAAACTTTCCAAAAATCCCTGGAATATAAAAAAAAAAATCCTGGAATATTTCCAACATTTCTGGAATATTTCCGAAATTTACTGGAAATGTTCCACCTTTTTGCAACCCTAATCAGAATTGACCCAATATTTGTGTGTGCTATTTTTGTGTGATATATATTTAATTAATAATTATTTAATTTATTATTATTAATTATATTAAATTAATAAATTAATGTAAATAGTTGTAATTAATGTAAATATTAATGTAAGAGTGTATATATATATATATATATATAGTCAGGTCCATATATATTTGGACACAGGCACAATTTTTATTATTTCAGCTGTTGACCGAAGAATATTCAAGTTACAGTTATATAATGAACATGGGCTTAAGCTTTAATTTGAGGGTATTTTCATCAAAATTGGAGGAAAGGTTAAGAAATCACAGCTCTTTAATATGTACCTCCCCCCTTCTTCAAGGGACCAGAAGTAATTGGACAATTGACTCAAAAGCTGTTTCATGAACAGATGTGGGTTATTCCTTCGTTATTTCTACATCAATTAAGCAGGTACAAGTTCTGGAGTTGATTCTAAGTGTTCCATTTACATTTGGAAGCTGTTGCTGTGAAGCACATCATGCAGTCAAAGATCTCTCCATACATGTGAAACAGATGATTGTTAGGCTTCAGGAACAAAACAGATCCATCAGAGAGATAGCAGGAACATCAGGAGCGGCCAAATCAACAGTTTGGTACATTCTGAGAAAAAATAACGCACTGGTGAGCTCAGCAACATAAAAAGGCCTGGACGTCGTCTACGGAGGACAACAGTGTGGATAACCGCAGGATCCTCTCCATGATAAAGAAAAGCCCTTTCACAACATCCAGCCAAGAGAAGAACACTCTCCAGGAGGCAGACGTGTCTCTGTCAAAGTCTACAATCAAGAGAAGACTTCACCAGAGCAAATACAGAGGCTTCACCACAAGCTGCAAACAAGCCCAGATTAGACTTTGCCAAAAAACATATAAAAAAGCTAGAGCACTTCTGGAAAAGCATTCTTTGGACGGCTGAAATTAAGATTAACCTGTACCAGAATGACGGGAAGAAAAAAGTCTGGAGAAGGTTTGGAACAGCTCATGATCAAAGCATACAACATAATCTGTGAAACATGGAGCAGTGTGATGCATGAGCGTGCATGGCTTCAGTGGCTCTGGGTTACTGGTGTTTAGTGATGATGAGACAGAAGACAGAAGCAGCCGGATGAACTCTGAAGTGTACAGGGATATACTCTCTGACCAGATTCAGCCAAATGCAGCAAAGCTGATTGGACGGCGCTGAAAATGGGGGGCTGTGTATAAAAATGGTTGTAATTCCTAAGCATTTTATGTTATATTTTTATTTTGTTCAACCCCTTGAATTAAAGCTTAAAGTCTGCACTTCAATTTCATGGTACATTTTATGGTGTTTTGTTATTTTTGGACCTTGATAACCGTTATAAGAGCAGTTTCATTCTCATTTAATCTTTTACAGAGAAAAAAAATCATATGGGTGATTAAATTATGAAATAAATTTTCATTTTGCACTTACATCAGTGTGTGTTTATCATTCTCCACATCCTTTGAATGTCTGTCTTCATTCTTCTTTTCATCCACACACACTTCATCTGCCTTCAATGCATCTGAACTGAGATGTTCTTCACTAAGCAGTGGCTCAAAAGCGGGTTCACTATTGTCTGTCGATGCAGAAGCTGCAGGAATCGCGTCTTCTGATTGGTCGATGGATTGTGCATCATTATTGTTCTCTGGAGGAAGTGCGTTTCTGTTTTATTTTAATTCTATTCTGGTGGTATACACAGCCGAAATTATGAAAATTGTGTCAGTGTCCAAATATATATAGACCTCACTGTATATATATATAAAATCCAATACTGATTTAAACTAAGATAGTTATAATTAAAAACATGTAATTTAATTAAAGTTTTAATCAAAGTGTAAGTGAAAAATTAAATGATTAAATTATTTTAATTTATTATTACTACTATTAATTTTATTATTTTATTTTAATTTAATTTACCCAATATTTGTGTTTATTCAGTACATTTATTCAAAACTAAGTAGATATTTAATTTAACTTGATTTAATGATAATATTTTAAGAAAAAATGTAAATTAAATTACATTAAGTTTAAATGTTCTATATTATACTTTGATTCTCTCTCGTCATTCTTCTTTTCATCCATACGCACTTCATCTGTCTTTAATACAGCTGAACTGAGATGTTCTTCACAAAGAGATGGATCAAAAGCGGGTTCACGTCTGTCTGTCGATGCAGAAGCTGCAGGAATCGCGTCTTCTGATTGGTCGATGGATTGCGCATCATTATTGTTCTCTGGAGGAAGTGCGTTTGATTGGTTACTAGTGTGAAGATCTACGTCGTTGCTAGTAGACGAGCCAGCGGTGGTTTGTGGACTCAACCAAGACAGTCCCTGATAATCCCGACAGGCTGGGAGACTCTGACAAAACATGTCCTCATATTCAGAACCTTTATCAGACTCATCATCATCAGCAGGGCTGTACTCGTCATCTGAGGATAATGACGGGGCCGGCAGGAAGGGTCGGGACTTATACGGCAGGCTGTGTGATTTTCCAGGAAGAGGCCTGTGTGTGAAGGAAGGGCTGCTGCTTTTGGCTGCAGGTGTTTGATGCTCATTAGTGCAGTTTTGCGATGGACAGGAATCGGCCTGATTGTCCTTGTTTTCATCCTCCTCTTCCTCATATTCGTTCTCAAAACAAGGCGCCTCGACTGAGAACTCAACCTGACGAATAGAGACAGACATCAGGTACAGGCATCATAAGTGTGCTCACCAAATACAAACAAAAGTCTATTAAACTTCTTTATAAGACACTTCATTTAGACCAATCTTTGAAAAGACTTTCAAAAACTGACAGCAAATTAATCACTGACACTGAATGAAAACCTCTTATAGAATAATTTAATACAGCATCACATAATACCGGAATGCATTATGATTAGGGTTGCAAAGGAGTGGAAAATTTCCGGAAACTTTCCCAAAATCCCTGGAATATTCCAAAAAAATTCCTGGAAAGTTTCCAAAATTTCTGGAATGTTTCCAAAATTTACAACAATTTTGCAACCCTAATTATGATGGAAAAAATGTTTAGTCAAAATAAATGTAATTTATATAGTAATATTTTATAATATTTTAATTCAAAATGTACATGTAAAATACTTACATTTAATTAGTGCTTTAACTCACTATTGTTAACAATTTAATGATTTTAAATATAATATTTGTAATACTTTTCCCAATATTTGTGTATGCTACGTATATATTATAATATTTTAATTTAAAAATGTTGTTTAAAATGTTTAATTAAAATATGTTTTAAAGTTAATGATTTAATTTCTTATTTTTAGTTATATAATTAATTGACTCTTTTCCCGCCAGCATTTTGGAAAAAAGTTGCCAGTCACCGCCAGCGATTTTGATGATTTTCACTAAAATTTGATGGCCTCCAGTATATTTTGCTGTATGAATATTTGAATATGCAATACACCAAAATAAAGATCAGAGCCTCTACTTTTAAACAACAAAAGTCAGTTTTATTATAGCTTAAAGCATTCTTTTTTATCAACACTTGAATATAGGTAGGTGTAGGGTATCAGACTGAATCAGACAATTTAAGATTCGATCAAGGACATGGTTGAAACACGAGGAGCCGAATTCCACAGAAAGGCCCAAGACACAGGATGTTCGTAAATCAGATCCTGGCGCCACAAGCCTAAAGCAAGTCCACCAACTAGCAGCTTTGAGTAGCTCACAGCATTTAAACAAAAGAACACTTATTGACAATTCCAAGGAGATTGTCAATTTTGGGGCAAGTAATCAAGATTAATGGTCAGAGATGCACAGCATGACCATCACATGTAAACCAGTGATAGTAATCATGATCACGAGCTCTTTGGATTGACTTTTCCCCCACCTAGAAGACAAAGAACAGACTGAAATTCCTTATGAGAGACCTCTTAACCTCACAGCTTCACAGAACATGTCCTTATGTTCAGAGAATGGTAAAGAAACCGTCTTTTACAGATGTAGATGCACCAAAATGAACTCAAAAAGACTTATAAACTAATATCAGTCCATTGCTTAACTCCATATCATGTATGTAACCCACACATTAGATTATCATGTTTTAATCATTTATTGTGTATGT